AAATAATATCATATAATAAAATAAAACATAATACAATAATATTATATTATTTTATTATATTATTATATTATTTTATTATGTTTTATTTTTATTATTTTATTACTTCCCTTCTACGTGACTTTACCGAAAGAACCAAGAAGATGAATCCCTGCAGTCACGAAAGCTTTAAATCGAGAAATATATTCACTCGCTGCACCACGCACCTATGTAAAAACATTCCCTTTCAAAAATCGCTGACGTTCGGCCAGGTTTTATATCTTTCAATCGCACACGCGTTTAAAATCTGGCGATCATCTGTTGTGCACAGATGCCCAAAGACCACAAGGCCAAAACGATTAAACTCGCTTGGAAGTTAGATACGTCATCAGATATCGCAGTGGAATGAGTTTCGGTCATTCCTATGCAGTTGCATAAGGCCACAGCCACCACTGGAATTGTGTTCTTACACACGAGGTGCACAGTGGGGAACGGATAAGTCGCACATTATAATACGGTCGCCTTGACATGTAAACTGCCATGTACACAAAGTAAGCGTACATAATATACGGTGATCGACTCGTAACCACATTATCTTTTATCCAGACTTGAGAGTGCATTAATGTCCGTACAACAACAGCCACTACTCGCCACTAAGTGGCAGTGACGTCACCACAGCGTGTGTGCCAGGCAAGGTGCGCTTTGAGGCCACGTGGAGAGTCAAAGGCCCACTGGCAGGAGGTCACGGGACAGACCCAGGTGCCATGGGTTGGCTGACTGAGATGACTGGCAGATGCACCACCTGTGCTCCCTAATACGTCATCCAACCAGGTATAGATATACCATATTAATGTATTAATTATAAACATGTATTCCACGTGATCGTGTTGACGCAGTGGTTATACAGTGTGCAGGCTGGAATCATAATAGAGGTTTTTTTTGGTTAGATCGCGTAAATATATAAATGTGTCGTTAAAACCCGTCACCACCCGACACAGCCAGCTAGTAAGGTTTGTCACGTAAACAGAACATGCCAATTCGTCACTAGTACAGCACTAACCGGTGTGTTGGAGAGCCAAGCCACAACATTTACAAACTGAGTACGACGTTTCAGCAGTAATTACAGCTAGCTTCATCAGGCGACAGCCAGGGTTGTGGAGAAGTCTAACTGTTTCGTTTCTTATATAGAGGCGTAGATGTGGTGACCACGCTTCTGTGCATAATGCGAGCCCTTTGATCTCGTCCTTCCTGTTTATTGTGTATTAAAATAGCCCTACAAACGGTAATCCGTATTGAAGTATGCTGCCCTTTATAGGCATGCATTTACATGATCTAACCCCCAAAAAAACTCTATTATGGATGATATTGGTCGCGAAAGCCTACGCGTTAAACAGACTGGAACCAGAAGGTTGTGTTTCCTAATGCTGGCGGAGGTGAACTCAAACTTTCATCCTCTCGTGGTCAGTAAATCAGACACCACTTTGTGGAAAGCCATCAGTTTTTGTCCTCAGGATAGATAAACCTCTGCCATAGGAATGTGGAATTTTACACCACAGGCCTGGAAACTTGCCAACAGGAGGGACGAACACCTTCCCATGTTCGCGTCAGCACGGAAACCGCTTTGAATTTGAGTTGCATTTTTAGTGCAGTACAACACAGTTTATAACGCTGTATATGTTCAGATTCAGCACTTGGGTCGTGAGATTGGCACTAAATTTCTGGATCTTGTGAATTAAGTCATTTAAGCGTGATTCATATGCCTCATAAAAAAATAAGTGGATCACTTTCAGGATAAAGCTATTGACAAACTTGCTCAGTGTTAAGCGCTTTGACCATAATACTATTAAATTACCTACAGAGCATATACAGTCCTACCAACCGAACTGGACTGTGCTCATTCGTGCCATTCAGTAGAACATCAAGAAAACGGCATGTCATACGACGGTAAACTGTTGTACAGTGTTTTGCAATATTTCACAGATTTCCTCGAAACAGGTAAACATATACATATGTTGCGGTGAGCGTTAATGGATCGTTGACGCTGTACGTCATCCCAGACCTATTTTGGTATTTGTTTAGTTTCCTGCGTGGATTGTGTTTAAAGTGAGGCCCTCTCAGCTGCCACGCGACAACCCAAGCCGCACGAGTGCCGCTGCTGTATTGAGAGCGACTCTGTGTGAAAGAGTTCCCATTAAATTTCGATTTAAAGCTTTCGTGACTGCAGGGATTCATCTTCTTGGTTCTTTCGGTAAAGTCACGTAGAAGGGAAATACTAAAATAATAAAAATAAAACATAGTAAAATAATTCTCACGACGTTTCGGCCACAACGCAAGCAGCCGAAACGTCGTGAGAATTATTTTATTATGTTTTATTTTTATTATTTGATTATTTCCCTTCTACGTGACTTTACCGAAAGAACCAAGAAGATGAGTTCCCATTGCTAAAAAAAAAAAATGCGTCCGACCGGACACGAATTTACATGGGAGCAGCAGCGGCTGCAGCATCACCATTGGGCCGTGTAGAAGTCACGATTTGAACACAGCGCTCAAACCAACATCCTTACAGAACGAGGTGACCTCACGACCAGTGACCGACGGAGCTGCCATTCTGCGTCCGCTTCGTTCGCAATTTGGGAGGCATCAAATTGGCATCCCTGACCCATGGGAGGCACGCGAATGACCAGCTCACCCTCCCTGTCACCGCCCGGACGGCCACACGCACACACACGCACGCATGCACGCTAAGGAATCAATGAGGTAATGTTTGCATAGCGCGCACATCCCCCTCCCCCCTCCAGAGCCGTTTTGGCCAAGCACTTAAAACAAGTCAACTTAAATTGTTCCCGGCATCCTCAGCTTTTTTTTTTAAAACAAAAGACGAAGAAAACAAATCACCAGAACGGATAGCAACAACAAAAATCGCAACGCAAACAGGTCAACCGCATTTTGATTCGGTCCATCAAGTCAATTAACGCCACTCTCTGGCGTTGTCCCAGTGTCGAGTGGCAAATGAAACAAAGAGGGGTGGTTGATGAAGCCGTCGGGTTGAACAACGGCGAGATGTTGTGGGGTGCGTGGCATCACCGGTGGGGCCGAACGTACAGGGAGCGACATGTCCTGCTGGCAGGCGGCTCGGGTCAAAAGTTTACGGAATTACTTTACTGGGCGAGGGGCCAAAGCGTCTCCCTATCAGCTGCACAATCCAATGCCAGAAGGTGCCAATAATCTCCCTTGCACCGCGTCCCTCTCTGCTCTCTATCTCTCTGTCTCTCTCTCTCACTTGCTAATTCACACTTTGTCCGTTATCGTGTTCCCATGGTTCACAGGCCCAGGCGAGAGATTACATTTTCTGGTACGGGCTCGAAGTAGTGATGTTTCTGAGTAATTTAAAAAGGTCCACAACCATTATTCGTGTTGCCAATGCATCTGTTCAGAGATTGTAAATGTATTGTTATGCTCAGAATGCATGTATCAAAACGTGCGTGCAAAGAATTATTTACTATTTTTCAAGTATTGTGCTCATGTTTATTCATTCAAAGAATATTCATTTCTTGAGAAACCCTTTTATTTTAACTGCTTTTCGTGTTTAGTTTGTTGTCTTTGCCCCCCACCTTAATTCGCGCCGTACATAGAATGGTTGTCTATGTACGGTGCGAAACAACATACATACATATATGGCTGACATCAGAAGTGAGTGATATCTAAACTCGTCATGGACCCCCGCCCCCCAACTTCCTCAACCCACATTGACCAGCATTGCCAAGTATGGTCCAACAACCCCCATGATGGACAAATGCATGGAGAGGCCCTTCATCCAGCAGTGGAGTGTAAAAGGGATGTAATAATTATTGTTTATTACAAGATGCCTTCACATTCCCAGCCCTATATTCGTGATCAGACTAACTCCCCCACACATAGGCGAAAGCCCCGTGGGGCTTTTAATGCACTAGCTGCACTTTAATGCTTCGAGTTGGAGCTGTGTACCACTCAGCACAGTCGAAATTCACTCATCATCGCACCTGCCAAAACATTTCAATATACAGTAAAAGTGTTTTGTTTGGTAATTAAGAATATTCAAAAATATATATTCAACTTTGAACTTCGTGAACTTATTTCGCACACCATACGTACCCAACCGTGCGAATCTGAGGTGAAATTAACATCGAATAACATCCACACAAAAAACACAAGCCTGGATCGGCTTGGAAATGAAGAGATGAGGAAGCCACCTTCAGGCGAGCTGAAGCAAAGTCGGACTGATGGCTGGAGGGGGACATGTCCTTGTGATGAGCGGGAGAACTACATCGCAAGAAAGGCGATCGCCTATGGAAGCACCAGGCCGGAGACCGAGAGGCAGGCCAAGAAAAAGGCTGTTTCAAGTGGTGAACCAGGCGTATTAAGGTCTGCAGTGTGGACGTGGATATGGCCCAGAACAGCAGTGAGCCGAGCAAAAGGGTCCTGGATGGCAGACGCCAAATGAGTGGGAACGATTGCGGCTGCTGCTGAGAAGGCAGTCATGAGTGCAAGCACACCTCTTTTGATTTGTAAAATAAAATTGTTTGTGTAAAAAACAACACATCCACGTTGTATCAAACATAAACTGCTCTCAAACCTAAAGAAATTGTAAACACAAGAACAAACAGCTCTTTTAGGTACGTATCCAGGTGGCATGTCCAGAGCTGTCCAGATATTGAGTTGGCAGAGTTTGTTAACAAGAAAAAATACTTTCAAATTTACAGTCAGGCACACCATCATATCACTCAAGTGCCATCCCTGCCTGTGTTGACACTGTATTTAAATGTATGGGAGTGGCTTCACCACGGCATCACTTGGGAACCACAATAACGCGCATTGAACAGGACACTTCAGCATTTCTATATGTGATGAACAATCGCATGAAGCTCACGTCAGACAACCGACAGACAAAGCCTAAGCACGGCACATAATTAGAAGAAAAGAGCTCTTTGTGTTTTAGTTTGCGTTTTCCTTTAGGCATCGATGATGCAAAGAAGAAAGCCGCGTACCAAAGGGCCGGGGTCTCCCCTGGGGCCTCGCAGCTCCGGCAGAACCTCTAGCTCCACGACGCCCTCCGGATCATGCACATCGACGTAGCCCTCGACGTCCCCCGTGCCGCCAGAGATGAGGTCCTCCCACTCGTACAGCAGCGTCAGGTTGTCCCTGCCGGCCTCCTCGTACCCCTCGGACCCATCGCCCCCTTTCCGTCCAAGCCCCCTGGGTCGACCCTCCAGCTGTTGGTCGAGGAGGTCGGGCCTGGGCCGCCTGTCGGGCTTACGGCGAGAAGCGAGGCCCTCCGTCTTCCTCCTGCTTTGCCTGATGGTGGCGAGGGTCTCCTTGTTCTTGGCGGCGACCTTCCTCCTCCGCTTGTCGTTCTCCTCGGTGGTGTTATCCGAAGGGCCTCGGCTCGTTCCGTGCCCCTGGCTGGCGGTCGTGTGCCGGGGTTCGCCGAAGGCGACGCCGGGGGCGGCGTCGCCGTCCGGAGGATGCAGCGTCGTCTGAATTCTCTCCGTGGTCGCGGTGCCCATGGAGTCGAGCGGCAACTCGTCCACGTGGGCCGTCCAGAGGGAGCCGCCCCGCTCGGCGGCGCTGCGCTGCGTTGCGAAAACGTGCGGAGTCAAAGGGGTGACGGGCGAGACCTGCTCAGTGTGGTTTTCGTCCAGATCTTCCTGAGACGACCTCGCCCCCGCTGACGAGGAAGAGTCGCGATCGACGACGGGAGGAGCTGCCAGCGGCCGGGGCGCAGAGCTTCGGTCAGGGGAGGGCGGCTGCGGCGCACGCTGCCGGTAAACGTCGCCGTGCCAGCACTGCTTCCTGATGTAGCTGCAGTAATTGGCGGCCGCCTCCGCCACCGGGAGTATGTCCAGCTGGCAGATGCTGCCCTCGAACGGAACCGCCTTGCGGTTCATCTTCGCCAGGAAGAACACGGCATCCGCCTCGAACTTCTCCGGCTTGCGGAAGATCAGCCTCTTGACGGAGCGCTCTCGCCCGCAGGCTGTGAAGAAGGATATCTCCCTGTCGCCGATGTCCACGGCGAAGTTGTGCCAGCGGCCGTCGTGCACGTCGTACTCGAAGTCCACGGCCTTTTTATTGCCCACGTAGATGATCACCTTGCCTGGGATGAACTGCAGGCCCAGCTGCAGCTTCTTGCGCCGGCTCTTGACGGCGAAGAGGAAAGCGTTGTTGACGCGGTGCGACCGCACGCTGGCCACCAGCGCCAGGCTGGCCCCGACAGTGCGGGGCAGCACGGAGTCCGCCGGCGCCTCCACGTGGGCGCCGCGAGTGAAGATGAGGCCCGAGCGCGACGGGATGACGCCGCGGGACACGGCCGAAGCCGACAGCTCGGCGTGGTGGGAGCCTGGCGAGGAGCTCCGCGCGTTCGGGAGGCCCAGCCGCTGCAGGACGTCAACATCTGCAACGCAGGGTGACAAGGGGCGGTCTCACATCGACGCTCACCATCTGGGGTCATGTTTTGTTTGAATTGGCAATAGACGAGGGAAAGCGGCAATTAACGGCGCATCGGCTTTTTGTGCGCGCGGTTGCGGTGCGGCTGTATTGTTTTTGAACGTGGTACTGTATATGGTGCTGAAATCACTTTCCTTACTGAAGTAATTATCTCAAATACCCATTTCTTCCACCCACCCTAACATTGAATGCATGGGAGGCACGGAATAATAACAAACGATGGTGGTGGTGGTGATTATGATGATGACTGAATGTGGGGCACTGTTTAGGGTATTTTCCTCTCTGGTTTGTGCATGTTCAGGGTGAAAGAGGGAGTGCTGTGATTCCGGAATCATGTTCGGTGGGTTATTGATCCACGTTAAATTCAAATTGCCTTTTCTATTGGTTGCTTTCTACTTGTCGTGGTCTTTTCATTATTTACATGAAGTTAATTTGAGACATTTTTCGATAAATGGTAGGGTTTTTGTTACTATGTTAATTAATGGACATTACTGCTTTTACTCAGTGTAGAGGCGAGGAGGAAACTCATTTCAAAGCAGTAGAGAGAACGAACAGGGTTGTAAAGTAAATTCATGTAGTCAAAAAATTATGTCTTAAAATTCTGTACTCCTACTAAGATACTGATCATTAATTTTTAACTACAAACCTGATTTCTAATTTGAATTCCCTCATAAAAAAACGCTAAACAAAAAATGCACATATTTAGGATGCTTGCATATTTAAAAATATTCATGAAATTCATTATGCTTAAGCTACAAACCTTATGAATTTCACCAGTTTCCCTCTGTTAAGGCTCTAACTTAAACAGTGATCGACTGAGGGTCTGTGACAAAGTCGCGTTGCTGCTTCAATGCACTCATGTTTGGGATTGATTCTCTAATGGCCCTGAGACCCTATAATTCCTGGCCTTAACTCACCTCGTGGCCCCATAAAAAGGTACGTGTCACAGAGGCCATCTAAGTAATCGGAATCAATTCGTGGGACGCAACAAGAATTTCTTCAAAGGCCCTCTTCAAGGCGTTGGGTGGCCAAAACCGTTCATTGTGCCATGGGTCATCGCGTCAAAGCAAACCATGCCAAAGGGCAGCGTTGGTCGTACTTTTTGGAGCGATACTTGTGAATGAAAGTATAACACACTTTCAAAATGCGTGCCAACTTCTGAGGAGTGTGTAGTTTTGCTTCTGACTGTCAATTTGTTGAGGGTGTTACGGAAAATGCTTCACAACAAAATTAGTGATTTGTGGCCAATTACAATAAACTGCATTACTAATAACTATGAATCTGCCGGGTGAAATTCAAATTCAAGTATTGTGTGAATGTTTATACTGAGAGCAAGGAAAACATTTAACAAAAATGCAAGACTATACTTTATCCGAAAGACAAATGTATTTCATAGAATATGTATGGTGATTAAAGGGTTCACACATTCAACCCATACGTAATAAAGTAAAGAGATGAAAGTCAACACGAACAATTTGGCAATCCATGCAGGATGAAGGCTTGCGAATGCCATGGCAGTCATGGGGATTGCTATTGTTTTGTCATACTTCACCACACTGGCCAGTGCTGGTTGGTGGAGGGGGGGGGGGCATCCAAGACCAGTTCACATATCAATCACCAACAATGTTACTCATGACCAGGAATCAAACTCAGGTCATCAGGTTCATAACGCAGTGCGTTAACCAATGCGCCAACACTCCACCCACGTTTGAAATTAAACTTCTCTACAAATGTTTAGTACGCATTTATTTACTCTACATCCATTTTCACTGACAACAGAACCAGACTGAACCACTAAACTTGAAATACGTGCTCTGTTAAAGCAGTAGCAATAATAGCAACAATAATAAAAATAAGACATGCGAGAAATTGCAAATCTAATTTGGCGAATGCTGTGTAAGTTTCATTGTGATTTAATTCTTGCAAGCGCCGTACTCGCAAGAAAAATACAATCAGAATAGACTTAGGCAACGTCTCAAAGGACGACTGCACAGCGCCAGTTTTATACACATTGCGGATAATTTGCTTTACATTCAACACATTGCAGTTTGGAGGGCATTCATGGCTAAATTATTTGAATAATTGTAATGCTGTACGCCGACACTGCAAGGGAGCGGCCATCGGCAGCATTCCCATCAGCAGCGTGCCATGCGCGATTATAAAACGTCACACGGCAGATGGATACAAGATCTTTTTAAAACACCTCCAAATATTTATCGGGTGCCAACAAAATAAAGGGGACTATATTCCACCACAGAGGCTTGCTAAGTGTCATAAGACACCAACAGATAACCCACTGCAGGAACACAATGATAGTGGCTTGTGATAGCATTGTTAAAGGTTTGACATCTAACTTAATACGCCAGCCACATGATTTTATACAGCAATGGCCTTCAGAACAATGACTCTTTATAGACATGTTGAAGGGATCGCTGTATTAAGCCTGTGCAAAGTTATATAAAGTAAAAAGTGGGCAAAGAAAAAATATTTCTGAAGCCAGCCTTTTATGACCTGCAGCAAGAAAGTGAAACTGTGTATTGCATTGCATCCAAAGTGAATATTTGGATGTTCCTTGGAGCATATTTTAATTTAATTTAAAATATGCCACTTCCCACATCCGTATATCTTTACATACACAAAGACGACCCTTGTTTTACCTTACAGACTGTTGGGGAAATGCTGTTAGTGAGTACCTAATAATGGCAGCATGGGTGGCACGGCCACCTTTGTGTCCCCAGTTCTGATGTTTACACACTGTAACCAGTACATATCTTTATTTATGGCTGAGTCAACCTAGGAGAGGGCCAAGACAAATTCAAACACCGTTTGCCACTGATGTTAGCCACGGCCAGGGATATAACTCATGTCACCAGGATCATAGTGTGGTGTACAAACCACCATACGAACACACACAAAGACCAAGATCCCCCGTATAGCCTTAGCATACTTAAGAGGCAAGTGGTGCTAGCGAGCACTTATGAAGGCCGAAACGGTACACGAGTGGGGTGGGTGGCCACTACCACGCCCGGCCGCCTTTGTCTCAATAGTGACGATTTTTACACACCGCACCAGGTACTCATTTGAGGCTGAGTCGAACTGGGGAGGGCCATGACCGATTCAGATAATCATTACTGGTGTTGGCCATGGGCAGGAATTAAACTCAGATCGCCGGGTTCGTAGCACAGCGCGTTAATCACTCGACTACTAGTCCCCATAAAACACACACAAACACACTCACAAACACAACAGTCTATAGGGTAACCGTCATCAGAAACCTGGGTTTTTGAAACCTCAGAACTCTTGTGAATGCTAAGCTGAAAAAGTTGCCTTGCACTGCAGGATGTACATTTAAATAACTGAAAAAAAACGTTCTAGAATTTAATGACTTGTCAAACACGTTTTAGAACCCGTACATTTTGGAACGCTGCATATACAAAATTGTGTCCATTCTGCAGTAGTGTACCATATGATTCTACTGCAGGCAAATGAACACGTGTAGGAAACGTTCATGGACAAAATAGGGCCGGCTCTAAATATCAACTGATGCTTGTACCTCTGGAGCTGTGAATTCAATCCAAAGTATCAGCCATCCCCTGAGTAAGGCATCTCCACAGAGGGCCTCATTATGGCCGGCATCAGCCACCTGCAGACGTATCATGACCACACTTGTTGTTCTTTACAGCCAGAGCTCCATCCTGAGCGCCACATTGGCAGGAAGGTAATGGGAGTAAACCAAAACAAGAAAATATGAAACCGGCACCGCTGCATGCGAGGACACGGCGTCTCTTTGAGGGTGAACAAGTGCTCGCTTATGTGGAAGGGGACCTTGAAATAAGGGCGAGGTTCCTAGCGTAATGTCTCCAGGTAAACGTGTCTTGTGCGCGGTTGCCGCCTCGAGCAATTTAAATATTTAACGCTCTGCTGTATCTGGAATGGGGCGTTGAGGACTTTGGCTCTTTATTTTACATTCATCCTATAAACGAAACCCAAATGACTAAACAGAGCCCGTTGATTGGATATTTCTGTAATTTGCGGAGAGATTTGGAATGTCAAATTGGTTCAACGTTCAAATATTTCATCCAAATTGCAAAATTTGATGTTGTTACTGATGTCTTTCCCCCCCAATTGATCAAATTGTTGCCATGTATCAATCAGGACACCGTGTGCGATGAACGTTATCATCTTGGTTAAGTCATTTTATGAGCACAATGATTTAAGACAGCAATGATAAAACTCCAGCACTCAAGCATAAACCCAGTCCATTTGTCCATGTCAAGCTCTCAATTCATTCTAGATTTGAAGCTTTCGTGACTGCAAGGAATCATATTCTTAGGTTTTTTCGGTAAAGTCACGTAGGTAAAACATCTAAATTAATGAAAATAAAATAACTGATTCTTCTGCCGTTGCCGATCATTGCTACAACTCGGTGGGCTCTCATGAAATTGTCTTTTCCGAGACCAAGGTTCTCTGCAAACCTCCCGGCTACCATCAAAGGTTTGTACACGAAGCCATACAAATATACAAACACAGACATAATTTCAACCGTGATGATGGGTACAAACTTAGTAATCATTGGAAAGATGTTATCAACCACGCAAAAAAGACTTAATTACACGTTTTTGGACCATCTTATCTGACAGGCACTATTTTACTTTACCGAGTGTTAACATCCCCAGTTGTTTTTTTTTAACAGTACCCTCTTCATTGTTCAGCCAGCATTGGTATAAACATGGGCAATTTCGTTCTTTTGTCTATCATGTGTATCAGACCTCCCCTCCCCCTCTCTGTCCATTGTGTTGGCGTGTGCAGCAGCAACCGCGTCCAAGCCGTCGTTCAATTTTTTGGCCCCGCCCCCCCCCCTCCCGATGAGTTGTACTAACATTCTGATGAGCTCCCCCCCCCTCTCATCCCCCCTTCAACTTGCTTATAAGGGATTACATCTTGAAT